CGGACTACTTTCGGCTTGACCAAAACTGGACGAGAACTCTGCTCACAGGAAGCTGCCAGGGGTAAGTCAGTGTGATTGCATGACACTGGTGATGGGGATGCCATACAGATTCATGTCAAAAATACCGAACTATCCCTTTAAATAGAACACAAGCCAATGTTCTACTGCATTTTGAGCCATATTTATTTATTTATTTGCACTGCACGATCCGATTTTTTCCAATGCGACCCAGGTCACTTGGCTCTGACGTCCTGAATCAGATACGAATCTGATCTTTTCAAATTTAACCTGTGTGTTAACGGCCAGGTCACATTAATCCGACGTGAACGTCATTAATACCCGACAAAGGTCACTATTCTGGGTCTTGCTTGCAGAAGCAGCCAGAAAAATAACAATCATGGCAGACAATGATGCAGAGAGCATTATTTATGTTTAAACATATTGAAAAGATTGAGTTTTTATGGTTGGAAAAGATCGCTAGATGCGAGCCAGCACTACCATCCATGTTTACTTCCTGAAAAAAAGAGCACGCTGGCCTGTGACGTCATTGCGTCCTCTACTGCGCATGCGGGACACTTCATTATATGACTGCAGTTCACACAGGAGATCAAATACAAGTCGTATATATTTGGAAATATGAACAGCAACATGAAAAAATCGGATTTCGCAAAAAAATTGTAATTGAGCATCAAGGCCTGCAGTGTGAACGTAGCCTTAGACTCTCGTTCTGCAGCTAATCCATCATGTCTTCTGACGGAATCCAAGCAACACAGAAATTATTTCATTCATGTCAATAAAATCTTTCTCATTGTTTCTTTTCTGCTTCTCTCAAGGTGGAAAAATCATTATTTTGCATTTTTATAGGTTTTTAGTATTTATATCCTTCTAATCTAATAATTTAGATGACGTCAAGATGAGCTTTGCTCACTTGATGTTCCTCACTTCAAAAACTGCATCGTTCAGTTCAAAGTTCTCAGAAATGTGATTCCAAAAAAGTTAAAAAACAAGCCACTGGACTTTGTTTTTAAGTTTGATGACATTTCACTTCCCATGAGGAAGCTTTTTCAATTCAAAATGATTGATGATCAATTAAAACTTGGAAACAAAGTCCAGTGGATTGTTTTTTTTTTAACTGACCTAGACCTGGATGACTGAGAATCTTCACCAGCACTTAGAAATGTGAGTTCAGCTCAGAAATACATCCATGGATTAAACTAAATGACACATCAAGGTTTTTGATTTCTTCTATCTTCCTCTTTATCAGCAGTTTTTTATTCTTTCTAATCAAACCATTTGACCAGAGGCCATAAAAACAAGGTAGAAATTCTCTGGAAGAATCTCCAGATGGGCAGGGACACTAAAGCATAACAATGCCTCCACCTTCCAGTCCAGATCCATCCAGCCTCTCTGGATCTGCTACTGAGAGATGCAGCAGCAGCACCGGGAGCTCAGAGCCTCGTACAGAGGAGGAG